GTGACTGTAAGTTAAAGATTGCCCTTAAACTTTAAATACAACCAATAACCATTTTGAGACTTAAATCAGGCTATTCCCCCACAAGATAAAAGCAGTCTGTTTTGATGGTGTGCCTTTTATAACAGTATTATAAATTTGTTATTGTAGCACCGTTCCTGTTGCTGAAAGGTTCTTCACTAGTTCGACATCCCTGACCCTAAAACATGTGGCCTGGTATCCCAGTGAGACATTAGAACCTCATGTAGTTCTGTTGACTTCAGATAATACTATAAGGTAAACTGATTTCTGTTTGCTCTTCTGAATGTTTTTTTTCTAGTACAAGAACTAGTTGTTTACTGTCTTTTGAGTAAGCATGCTTATTAGTGGAATTACAACCTAAAAATAGCATAGAAAGAAGTTCAGGATGGTAACTACTGATGTACTGACTCTGCATAAGCAGGGAGTCATCATGTATGAAGTTAATGACTTAATGAAAGTATTTATTGTTTGTTCTTCTAGGATTTACAGTCTGAAGGTGCCGCAGACACCTGTGAAGGTGATTGCTCTTTCAGATGCCGAGGAGGAGAGTTTAATGCTCAATAAAGGGTTTGTGCAGTTTTTAGATTTTGAAATGCTCTCAACAGGATAAACTTGCTGATGTACCAAATGTTTTTTTGTAGAGATGGAAAAGTACCTGGAGAGAAGATGGCGTAATATGTTGTGATAAATTCGCCAGTGGGGAATCTTATTTCCTTCTTTTCCATAGCTTGTTTTCCCTAGTCTTCCCAGCAAAGTAGCTGAACTTGTTTTTCCCCCGCCTCACCATTTTAGAGGGAGCAGGGGAGTAGCTGTCTGCAACAAAAGCAAAATATTTTAAAGTTAAGATTATGTCCTAAACAAAGGTTAAAAAGGGGCTTTTTGGAAGAGAATGTAAGAGGTGGAGCTTACTGTCCTATCTTGTCTCTGACCTAGCTGAAATGGAGACACCTGTTGGTCTCCAACAGCCAAGCCATGGCTTAATATATTGCACTGAAAATACCACTACATCCTCACCTCTCTGAGTGCTACGTATTTGGGCTGGCTGGCAGTTCAGTTTCAGAAACGGAGTAAGAAATCAGTAGGTTCAGTGGAGGTGGGGGGAAAGATGCAGTGTTCTCTTGAAACAGCCCATCAGTCAGAGTCCCTGGAGACTTTAGCACATGCATTTAACTGAAGAGAGGGCCAGTACTCATCTTTAGGTATCTATTGCAGAAAATACTGTTGGCTAAAGGACCGATCCATATTTGTAAAATCTTAATCACATTTATCTAACGTAGCAGTAAATGCCACTTGAAATGCAGCCAGTAACTGTGTGCAGATAGTCATCACTAACCGTAATTTTTGGCCTGTCTCTCTTCCTTCCCCAGGAGAGCGTACACAGCATCACTAGGAGAGACTGCAGTGGCATTTGATTTTGGGCCTCTGGTATCTGTTCCGAAGAACATAGCTGGGCAGCGAGGGAGAGAGGAAGTATTGGCATATCCACTATACATATTATATGAAAATGGGGAGACCTTTCTCACATATATTAGCCTCTTACAAAGGTAGGGACTTAAAGTACAATGACCAATTTTGTTTAAAATGTGATTCATGTAACACTTCTATTTCATTTCTGTGCAGATTGATCTATATTTTATATCAAGATTTGTGCCAGATTCAGGAGCAGATGCTGTATTGAATTCCATCATATTATATTGTAACCCAGGCTTATTCAGTGTTGGTTTTTGTGCCCCTCTAATGGTTGGACCACATAGAGCTTTCAGTCTCTAGTCTTTGAGCTAATAGACCTGGACCTTGAGCTCAGGCAGTAGAGGCTCATTGTTTTAGATCCAGAGGTCCTGGGTTCAGTCCCCACTGTTGATAACCCACTTGTGTGTCACAGTACTTAAAAGAGATACTCGGATCAAATTTGGATGGAAAACTAGGGTTTGGTTAAAAATCAGCTGTTCTAAAGGTACCATATTGACTCTTGGGGTTTTTGGCTCCTAGCGTGTGACAAGCAGGAGCTCCCATAGCTCAGAGTGAGGCTGTGCTTCAAAGAACCAAACCCCTTTTGAGATCTTAGGGACTTCCAGCCTGGGGCCTGGTCTACACTACGGGATTAATTCGGATTTAGCAGCGTTAATCCGAATTAACCCTTCACCCGTCCACACTACAGAGCCAGTTAATTCGAATTAAAGGGCCCTTTAAATCGATTTCTGTACTCCACCTCGACGAACGGAGTAGAGCCTAAATCGATTTTGTTAATTCGAATTAGGGTTAGTGTGGCCGCACACCACCGAATTACTGTGTTTAAGTTAATGGGGTAGTGTGGCCGCACACCACCGAATTAATGTGGTTAAAAACCGAATTAAGGTGCTTAGTGTGGCCGCGCACAATCGAATTTATACAACCTGTTTCCCAAATTCGAATTATCTAAATTCGGATTAATCCTGTAGTGTAGACATACCCTGGGTCTCATTAGGAAGGTGCTAGAATAGGATTCCAGTCAAATGATAGGTTGAGAGATGACAAATTAGGTTATATGAAAGAGATATGCACCTTTAAGACCTATAGAAAGGACACTGAAAAATTGCAATCTAGATTTAATTAGATATGCAAATTAAAATTAAAAAAATATTTCTGTTATATTTAGGTTACAAACACTGCAGCATGCATCCTCCTAGTGAGTGAGAAATAATGTGAAATTGGCGAGAAACTGCCTATAAACAAAAGTAAAGCTGCCTAGTCCTTTTCATAGCCCAACCTGAGAGCAATACAATAAGAAAACCAAAATACTGAAAAATAAATTCTTAGGTATTGACATTTGTTCATAGAAAATTAACTTGAGTGTCTCTTTAAGCACGTTGTACAGCCCTTCGTAAAGGGGTGTGGCACTGTTTATTGACTCCATTGTGTGATAAGTGTGTTAGTCCGAGACAATACAAGATTATTATTAAGATTCATTCCTTTGTGTGAGAGCACCATGCAGTGCATGTAGCCCAGGACCTTTAATTTTCATTAGGTTGGATTTCAGTTTGCCAGACTTGAGCAAGAAAAACTAGTAAACGTATGTGTTCCCCTAGCTGTTGTCCTTGGCTTTCATTCTTTCCCAGGGGATTACTGGAGACAATTTTGGAAACTTTGGGTCTTAGTCTTCCAGTAAGCACTTCCTCGTTTCTTCATTGCAGCACTGGAAAACTTGGCAAGCTGTTGGGCCCATTGCCCATGCACCCCACAGCTGAAGATAACTATGGCTATGATGCTTGTGCTGTTCTGTGCCTGCCCTGTGTTCCCAACATCTTGGTGATTGCCACCGAGTCAGGAATGCTTTATCACTGTGTGGTACTGGAGGGAGAAGAGGATGATGAGCAAACGGTAGGGTGGTGTTTCCTAGGTACTCTATTATGTCACTTGTTCCTGTGGGGTTCTCTTCTTTGTGTCCCACATCCTCATTTCCTGAATGGAAACATTCAAAAGAAATGTTCATGTTGGCCCCTTGCTAATCTGACCAACATTTAAGTTAAAATAGAATCATTAGGTATTATTTTAGCCAAATTGTTGGTCTGATTAGCACGGGCCCAACATGAACGTTTATTCTGAATATTCAGTTTAAATTAAACCAAACTATAGCTTGATGCTTATTTATTTTCTCAGAAATGTGGCACATTTCTTTTAAAAATATCTCCTTTAAAATTATTAACTCTGATGAGAAACTGACATCACTAGCTGCAGAGGCACTATAGGTGACACTAAAGAGAGAAGAGCATCATAAATTCACGGGGACTGGGCAGGGACCACCCTGCTTGATTTATGAAAAGAGCAGCTGCTCTGGAAAGCCTCTTCAGCATCTCCCTGCAGGCTGTAAGTAGTGACTGCTAGGGGCTGCCATTCAGGAAACAAGGATGTGTTTTATTTAAATGCTGGAAAGACCCTTCCCATGCTAAGTAACATTTTCTTCTTGCTATTATAATGGTATTTTTGCTAGAAAGATGTTTTACTGATGCATTCAAACACTTTTTACAGTCAGAAAAGTCTTGGGACCCAAGATCTGACTTCTTCCCTTCTCTCTATGTGTTTGAATGTGTTGAATTGGAACTTGCACTGAAACTGGCATCAGGAGAAGAGGAAGAGCCTTTAGAATCTGATTTCTCTTGCCCAATTAAACTGCACAGAGGTAAAGGTGAAATTAATCAATACTATTGCTGTTTTAATTCACTTTATTTCA